ACCCCCCCCCGCCAGCCACACCTGCTCTTGGAGGAGAGGGGTGAAGGCTCAGCCTCCCTTGCTATGCCATCACCCCTCCCCCTCCCACCCCACATTCCATGTTTGCCTTAAGCCTCACCTCCTTAACCTCATGGCCAGAAGGAGACTAGGAGGGCCCCACTGCCCTGGACCCTTTAGCTGAGAACTGGCTAGGAGCAAAGGCTCAAGAGACCTACTCTCTGTATCCCTCTGGGGCACTTCTGGGCCTCTGGCAGCCACCTCCATCTCTTGAGAGCCAAAAGTGACCCCTCCCACTACCCCAGGAAGGAGGTAGCTCCGCTCAGGCCACTAAAGCCACAGGGGCCCCCAGCATTTCACAGCTGATCTCCCAAGGAACTTCTTCCTCAAGTTTTACCTGCATCTAAATAAGGACAGGTGGTAAGGGAAATGTCTGTCCCTTCTATTATCTCAGAGTGCAATAATGTTCCACTTCCTCCCCACATTTACTCAGATAAACAGTCTATGCTGTGATAATTACTTTCTGAGCCCAGATAGAGTAAAAAGAATAATAAACGATGCTACACCTTTCCCTGCCCTCCTTTTCATTTGAGTTAGCTTGGGGATCAGTATAGACCATTGCTTTGAAAATCGTTCTGTAATTCATCCCCTTTCGGCCCTCCCCCAACCTCTTCTCTGTTGTGTAAATTTGAAATAAAATTGTCTAAATGTTTATTTCACCAGAATGATGCAAACCTAATATTTTATTTCACTTCGTGTGATACTGGCTTTTCCTTTATTCAGGAAATGTGTATTTTCTCTATTTGGAAGACATGGGACACATGGGCATTCAGGTCAGATTAAGGGAATCAGCCTAAGGAAGGCTTTTTGAGACTTTTGTGTCTGATATTCTTCATTTATGATTATATGTTGTTTTTTTCCTTCCTTTCTCCCCTTATTCTCATTAGTTACTCAGAGTCTTTTGTTAGGAGAAACTAGCCTTTGAATGACCTTTGCATTATTTTCTTCCTTCTAGATACATTTTCCCCTTGGTTTCCAGGATACCCCTGTCTCATAGTTTCCCCCTCCTAGATCTTTTTGGTGACTTCTCAGTAACCTTTGCTGAATCTTCTTTCTCTTCCTGACCCTTGCATAGTATGGATAAGAATTTTAATCCCCATAACTGTGATTTATTGAGAGCTTATTTATGTGCCAGGCACACTTACAATGTATTCAGTAGCTCTTTAATCCTCCTAGCAATCACATAAGATAGCTTTTTCTTCTACTTTGTAATTCACTATTAATATTAATTAATATTAGTTGCCATATACTTCAGATGAGAAAACAGACTGGAAAATTAGGAGACTACCTAGGGCCAGGCAGCTAATTGGTGGTGGAGCCAGGGATGAGACGCCTAGCTGAATAACTCTAAAGCCTATGCTCCTCCTTCTCGGGTTAGCTCTCACATACACAGGACCCTATGATGTAGGTACTATTACTATCTGCACATGATGCATGAGGAGACTGAGGTCTATGCACATGAAATGATTAGACAAACGTCAGAAGAGCAAGTGGCCTGCATGTCACATACAAAGGATGGAATCTTTAATGAACACTTGTTTGACAGAAAAGAGGCTTTTACTAGGCTTTTACTACTTTTCTTTTCCTTGCCCTCTGGGTTGCAGCTAGCCCACCTGCTGCCTGGCAACCACCCCCTCCCTGCCTTCAGTTACATTATCACATTCCATTCAAGCACTATGTTGTTTCCTGTCTTGGCTTTATAAATTTAACAAATGCAAGAGAGACAGCAGCCAAAGTCAGTGGCGAAGAGATGAATTGTTCAATTAGTAGTGCTTGGGGGACTTCAGTATCTGATTGGAAAAAAGATGTTTACTTCCTTCCATCACACTAGATGTGAATTCCAGATCAATTTGGAAATAAATGTAGATTTATGTGTATACTAATTCTTTAAGAATATATTTATTGTTATGAAAGGAATAAAAAGAATCAAATGCTCAAAAGCAACCCCTTTTAAAATTGCAAAAAACCCAAATATTTATTAAATCTCTGGATTAGAGAAGGCTATCTATGGTTAAGAGCGATGAAAGAAATTACAAAGGAAAGACCAATGTAAATACAAATTAATTTTAGGCTCTAATAAAGAATAAAAAGCATTTATTTGAGTAAAAGGAACTGAAGCCTGGGAGATAGATCTGCACTGAGGTAGCAACCTAAATTGTGTTCCACTGAGACAAAGGAGAAACTGTCATTTATAGCAAAAGTTCCCATCCAGGTTCTTAATTAAGTCCATTTTATGTAAATGAGGTATCCAAATTGTGAAGTTCCGATTGGACAGGGCAGGTCTCAGTCCGTAGGTAAAAAGAAGAAACCAGGGTTTGTTGACTCAGACAGTGTAAACAAGTAGGGTAGAGTGTGTGGAAGCTGAGAGTTCAGTCTGAGGTTCTTCCCTGTATACAGAGTACTTGAGGAACCCTTGTCAGCAAATGGCCCTAAGACTCCTATTTATAAAATTTGGGCCCTCGGTTGACCATGGGGAATCCATCTCAGCAGAAAATTTCTTCTCAGTGCTCACATCAAATTAATCTTTCTTCTCAGGTTCCACACCAATAACCCAGAAGACAGCATTAACAGAAATAAAAGACAAACAGCACTCCTCTGCTGCTGCCATGGTGCCTGTGAAAAGATTGTGGCAAAGCGGGGCCAAAAAAAAAGAAGCAGTTTCTGAAGTTTATCCTTGACTGCACTCATCCTGTAGAAGATGGAATCATGGATGCTACCAGGGTATAAGGATGGAGCAGGAAGGTGCAAATATAAAGGGGTAGCACAAGGGAACACTTTTGAGATAATTGAACGGTCTCGTATCTTGACTGTGGTGGTGGTTACACAAATTTATACATGGGATAAAACTATACAGAACTGTAAACACAGTCACACACACAAATAAATGCACATAAAAATGATAAAAAACTTAATAAGATCTGTAGTCCAGTTAACAATATTGTACCAATTTCAATTTCCTGGATTTGATATTGTCCTATAATTACATAAGATACCACCATTGGGGGAAGCTTGGTGATAGGTACATGAGCCTCTATGTATTGCTTTTGCAACTTCCTGTGAGTCTATCATTATTTAAAAGCAAAAAGATTTTTTTAAGCTTCTGTGGGGTTCCAGAGATTCAAAAAAATAGTCTTGGTGAATTTAATTACTAGAATTGTTCTGTGTTAGTTGCTTTCCATGTATAGCTGGAGTAGTTTAAACATTCTTCCTCTTTTGGAAAATATTGCAGACATGTGCTCAAAGGAAGTATACTAATGTGTCTTTTAAAAACTCTGCCAGTTATTTTTATGATATATTTTAAAATAAAATTACATGCACATGGAAAAATATTATTAATATTTTAGACCCTAAAGAGCTTTTGCTTGCGTAGGTTATAGATCTACCAATATTTACCATGTTGTAATCAAAGCTGAAAAGATCTCAAAATATTTAATTCATTAAAAATAATAAGCCTCTCACCTATTAACATAAATGACATATTTTGTTAAAATAACTACTTTCCAAAACAAAAACTAATTTAGAAATGTTTTATATTTTGAAAATCTCTTTATTGTCTTCCTTAATACAAGAGAGATAGATTCTCATATTTGCTTCTGCATTATGATATGCTTGTGGTAGTTTTGGTTGAAGTATATGAGGAAAATCCAACCTTATGGAGCTTTGTAGTTGGAAAAAGGAGGATTTCCCAGATAGTTTGAAAGGTGTCGGGTGTCTGCAGGTTCCTCAGACCATACTTGAAGAAATGCTATGCTAAAGATACATACTGAAGTATTTATAAAGGAAATATTAGGATGTTAGCAATTTGCATGTAAATTATCAAACACACACACACACACACACACACACACACACACATCAGTTCTCATTATATGTGGTAGTTATGTTCAATAAAGTCACCACGAGCAGTGAATTAGCAAATACTGAGTCATTGCTCCTAGTGGAAATATGGGGTAAGGTTCCTATAAGCCCCTGGTCACATTCTCGTCAACCAATCAATATATAACCTTGTTTCACTTGTGTTTCTGTTTAAAGACACTTTATTTTATATTTCTTAAAATAATGAATTGTATACAGTATTTCTTTACAATAAAACACCAACCAAAAATAGTTTAACATTTCCCTGACCCTGGGTAACATAACCTTAAATTTTTTTGGCTCTCAGCCTTAAAACAATGTTGTGTACTACACTTTAAAAAATTCAGTTGTCATCTCATGAATCCACAAATTTTGCTGCTTTTCCATCTTTTCCATAGTGTCATCACACACAATAGGTATTCCTTTAGTGCTTTCTGGAGTGTTGTCACATATCGATCAGCAAATTTCCACTTCCTTTCTTCGGATATACCATATTGCTAATTCAATAAATTGAACTCACAGCCAACAGCACTATAACTCATGCCTGAATGAAGCTTATCTAATGCATGCATTTTCTCTGTAAGGCACATCACAGCCTTCTTGCTGTCAGTTATTGACCCCTGCTCAATCCCTTACATTCATTGAGGGATATGGCATCTCAATTAATTTCTTCTTCACCATCCCCAAGTCTTTCCATTATTTTAAGTTATTTCGAGTTCAACATTTTTACTTGTCCAACACCCCAATCTCTCATTTCCTTGATCATCTTATCTTTAATGACCTTGAACTTTGTGATCACCTAGAATTCTTTACCCCTGAAACAATGAACTTTAGTCTACTACTGTCTTTCCAGCTCATTCTCTTATTCCCTCTGTATCAATGCTTCAACCTTATCAAGACTTCCTTGATCCCTCTACTTTTCTCCCAGAATGTCTTCTCATTTCCTTGTTTATTTAGTCTACATCTTATAGTCAATTGCTTCAATCTCTCTGACCAATATTTTCATCAAAACTTGTCCCCAAGATATCAGCTCTGAATCCACCCAAATGTTACTGAACTCAAGGGGTTTGCTGTTTGGGGTGTTCTATTCAATAAGAAGAAACAGTTATCATTAGGTAGTTTTATTTACTTGAAGCAAGTAAATGAGACAGGGGATTCACATCCAAAGCTCTGTCTCCCTAAAGGGAGGCTTAGCCATTGTTTATATATACTATTTGGTTAATTACATGTTGAGTTTTTCTTTGCCCTTGGCTAAACTTATCTAATTGGGTTCCATTCAAGCTTACCCCATTACAGCTGTGCCTGCAAAATACTGTACTATATTTTAACATTTCGCAAGAATAGTATTTAGTATAAATGGCTCAGATCTTGAGACCCTTGTCCTATCTAACACAAGGATTGTCTTTTCTATCTTATGCTATGGCTTCTAAGCCCTGATAAAGAAAATATCATAGGTATGATGATTAGTGTCATCCCATTTTTGTGGTTTTCAACTTAATAATAATACCTAGAAATCCTCCCACAAAACTTTAGTTGGTTAATGCTCTCATTTCTCACAACACCTCTTCCAAATCTTCATCATTATCCTCAAGACTGACACCTATTTCTGCTTCCAACATTCTCAGTTGACAGAATCAGCTTAGTTAACAGAGGCAAAATAGAACTAAGGATGTGAATTTAAGTCATTTCCTGGTCTAGGTTAAGTGAATAAGCCAGAAAAAGTGCTTTAGTCAACCAATTCTTGGGAGATCCACTATTGTCCACCTAACTTTCATATATTCTCTCAAGTCCATTAGATTGGCAAGCTTGACATTTTTAAAGATCCAGAGAGGGCAGACACCTCCTATTTTAGAGGTCGAAGTATCCCACTACCCTTGTCTCCAAAATTCCAAACCCCTCCACTGGAGTTTTGGATCTTATCCGTTCTTTTCTCAGAAACTTCATGCATTAGCCATCTCCTCTCTTTTCTGCATCTTCAGCCTTCTCTTTCTCCATGATTTTCAGTATCTTCTTTCTTTGTCAGCATATGAATATTCTCAAGTCTCTACTACCTTTAAAAAAATATTCTGTCTTATGAGACCTTCCAGCTGCTTTCTGATCTTTTGCTTTCCAAACTTACCGGAAGTATAACACATTTATAGTCTCCATTACTTCTGTACCCAATGATCCAGTTATATATCTCTGTGTAATAACCTCCCTTAATTTTGGAGCTGAAAACAATAATCATTTTGTTATATGCACGATTGCATGGGTGAGAAATTTGGGCAAAGCTCATTGGACAGTTCTTCCCCATATGGCATCTACTGGAGGTACTCAGTGTTATCCAGCTGGTGTCTAGGTTGATATGGAGGGTCCAAGATGGTTTCCTTCATGCCTGGTGCCTTGGTGGGATATCTAGAATACTAGGTGCAGCTGGGCTGCTCTCTCTTTCCATACCATCTCGTGTCTTCTCCATGTGATCTCTCTAGCAAGGTGATCAAACTTCTTATATGATTGCTCAGGGTTCCAAAAGACCAAGGCAAAAGTTGCAAGTCTACTTATGACTTACCCTTGGAAGTCAAAGAGCATCACTTCTCTGCATTCTATCAGTTAAAATTATTTACAGGGCCCACTAGATTCAAGAATAGGGGACTACACAGGGGCATGATTACTGGGAGGAATGGTTATAGGAGCCACATGCTAAAGTCTACCACACCCATGCACTCCTCAGACCACTACAATCTGGTATCACTCCTTGCCACTCCACTGAAATTGCAATCTCTGAGGTAAAGACCTTAGTTGTTAAATCCAATGCATGATTTTCAGTACTTGCTTTGCTTACTTTTTCTGTTGAATTAGACCCTATTAACCAATTCCTTGGTTAAACTTTCTTCCCCTGGCTCCTGGTTTGCCTTTTACTTTTCTGGCTGTTTCTCAGTCTCCTAAGCAACGCATTTCTTATGTTCTCCCCTTAACTACTAGGCTTTGTTATCAGTTCTCTTTTCACTCTGCACACAGTGGACCTTGGGAAGGAATCTATCTGCCAAGAAGGACTCCTTGTGGTTAACTGGGCACAAATTCATAACTAGAGTGTGATAGTCATTGCTAACAGAAGCATCTCATGCACACTGCATATCAGGGGAAAACCACAGACTAAGCTGCCAAGCCTCCTGCACTGAGTTCCAGCTGTTTGAGCCAAACCTTATAAAGCAGCGGTCCCCAACCCCCGTGCTGCAGACCAGTAACAATCCATGACCTGCTAGGAACTGGCCCCCACAGCAGGTGGTGAGCGACAGGCGAGGGAGTGAAGCTTCACTTATATTTGCAGCCACTTCCCAGTGCTAGCATCACCACCTCAGCTCTACCTCAGATCATTAGGCATGATTCTCACAGGAACACCAGTCCCTGGTGCCAAAAAGGTTGGAGACCGCTGCAATAAAGGAATTCCTGGAATCATATTTCAAACAATGGGCTGAGACCTTCCCTGTCCAATTGGAACTGCACAGTTATATCCTCAGTTGCATCTTTACTGACCAATCAGAGTGACTCCACAATGACCAATCAGGACAGTGCTATTTGAACAAATTGAACTGTGCAAATTTGCATAAAAATGGACCAATCAGTGTCCAAGGTGGGTACTTTATATAAGCAGGTGGGTACTTTATTTAAATGCACTCCCCTTTTTCTTGGGGGAGTGCATTTATGGTTTCTCACATTTGCAAACTGTTTACTTGAATAAATGTTCTCTTTTTACTGCACCCCAGATTGGGGACTCCTGTTGGCGTTAGATTGGTGGTAGTGAACTTTTGTTGATAACATGCTATCTGGCTATATCATCTCTACCTGAGGCCTCTCTATCACTTATCTACTGGTAATTCCTCAATATACATCTCCATCTCAGATCTTTCTCCAGTCCTCTAGATTCATATGAACTCTGACTGGCTGTCCCACAGGTACTTCGAATGTACCCAAAGCTGAATTCATCTTCTCCTTCAAACTTGCTCTCTTTCCTTTCTTATAGTCCCTATTCTGTACTGACCATTCTTCTAGATGCCCAAGGCAGAAACATGGAAGTCATCCTAAACTCTACCCTCTCTCTAATTCTCCCTTTAATACTTTGTCACCAATCCTTAACCATTCAACCTGCTAAAAAGCTTTTTCAACTTATTCACTCCTTTCCATCCCAGATACTAGATCTGATAGAGGACTGGTAGGGGCCTTGGTCTGTCATTCTGATTTATAAATTGTATAGAAATTACAGTTGATTACAATAAACTCAAATAATGTTTCTTTTAAAGCAGAGGTGACTAAGAGGTAACAGGATAGGAGGTATTATTTAGAGTAAAGCTCTTCATGGAAAGAGGCACTCAGGTTGGTGGCAGCAGGATTCTGCCTGTCCAGAGTAAAGTTATTTCAGCTCATATGAAAGCCCAAGTAGGAGCTGCTCAGACTCCCAAACCTGTCATCCTGAAACTTCAGCACATTTAGCTTATAAAAACTACCTTTATCAAACCACATCATCGAGAGCTGATGTCCAGATGCTGGGTAAAATTTCTAACTACCCCACGAGAACATTCTTGCTACATTGGCCACAGGTTACATAGTAGTGACCAGAAAGGTTCTGGATTCCAGTAAATGGCCAATTAACTTCTATCAAACCCACTTTCCTTCAGATATAACAACAATATACTCTGGACAAAATATTAAAAAAAAAACAACTACCTGAAAGTATTAACAAATAACCCAAAGCAAGCAGAAACTGGAAGAGAATCCACATTAAAAGATAGAACCAGAACTAGGTGAGAGTCCTATTTTTAAGGATTTTTGTCACAGGGTATGCCCCAATCAATGACCTGATGGGTGGATAAAACTGAATCTTTACCAGAGGACAGAGTTCAGGGTTTCAGCTGCTGAAACATGTGGAGGTAAAATCCTGGACTGGAGAGATCCTGACAGGGGGAAGCCTAAATTTTGTACATAAACTCTATTCAAATTTGGCCAAACTCTGAACCATGTATGCAGGGGCCAGTCTCCAAACAGCCCATATAAAGCTAAAAGAACTCAATAGGAATTTTAGCTGCTGCTTACCACAGGGGAAAGTGCATATGGAATTTGAATACAGTCAAGTTAACAGCCTGCTAAAACAAACAAAAAATAATACTCTTCAGAGAGACATAATGGAATCCAGATTCTCTACAGCATGTCCTCTGCAATGTCCAGACAAATTAAAATGATTGGCATATCAGAAACAGAAAAATGTGACCCATACTGAAGAAAAAAGGC